GTTCTTGAGAAGGCCTACTCTGGATTATAGCATGAAGAGAGGACAGGAAATCCAGAAAGCCTGGGCTGATGGGCCACCTGGAAATGAGAATGGGACTGAGACAGAAACCAACAAGCTGCAGGAAAGGCTTGGTTACTTTGCTTCAGAAAAGACTTAGGGTAACTAAAGCACAGGAGTAGGCGACCTAGAGAGAGAGATGATTTGGGAGAGCAGGTGATTGGGAAGTGTAAGAGAACTTTAAGCTAATTCATGGTTAGGAAAAATCCAGAAAGTGTCGGTCACTGAGAAATTAACAGGACTATAGTTTGGAGCGAGAAATAAGATGTATAATCTAATGTGTGACTGTTGCTACCTTAATAATCTGTACCTATTTTTGTAACAGCTATGTCTACATTACATTTAAAATTGAAGCAGCCGCAGTTGATCTTCTGGGGTTTGAATGAGCAGATCTAGTGAAGACACGCTAATTCAAACTGAGAGGCCACCCCCATCGATACCAGTAGTCCTGATTCTACAAGGAGTAAGGGAAGTCAAAGGGAGAGTGTGCTCCCTTCAACTTCCCACAGTGTGGACAGTGCCAAAATTCAAGTTAAGATACTTCAACTTAAGCTACACAATTAATGTAGCTGAAGTTTCATATCTTAATTTGAATTTATCCCTTAGTGTAGACCATGGGTAAATGATTATATCTAATTGACCTAGCTGAGTGCAAAGGAATAGTATACATATACAAATAGTAATAAAAAGGAAGTGTTGACAGATAGATACTCTGTCAACAAAGTGATGTTCCATCTCTGATGTTAAATCTGTCTAGGCTATTAGAAGTACAATAACCAATGTTTTGTTTGTTACAAAGTCAAATCCCATACAATGGAGTTTATTTATGAAAAGATTAAACATAAGTGATACTTTGTCTTGTGTTTGTTTTTCATTAAGGACAGTTGATTCTTCCTTAATTAGATTAGTGAAATCATGTTCTATTTTTGCACTGTAAACTTTTCTTCATATAACAATGGAGTGCAGAGAAAAGATTGTTTAAGATGCTTGTATGGTAAGGCACCCCTGTATTGACATCCTACACATAATTGCAATAATCGTTGTACAAAATATGTCTTGTGAGGTATCATTTGAAAACTAATTCACTGATCAGTAATAGCATGATGAAATGTGTATAGCAGCATCATATAAAGTTATGAGTTCCCTCTGATGTTGATAGCACATGTTTAAATCCATGTAGCCCTGATTAAGCAGGACTGATCAAGAAGGTCCTAAACAAAGCAATGTGTGCTTACCTACACATTGTATATCTAATTGGTAAACATGGTCCTCAGAAAGGGAAGACGGGTGACTAGGAAAATCTACATTTTAGCAAAGCGAGATGGCAACAAATCTGCATTCTCTTTCACTATCAGACACCATCTAATTGACCTAGCTGAGTCCA